GTCCTTGACAACCACGAAGGTGTAATCACGGACCTTGAGCCAAGCATCCTGGAATCTGAAGTCAAATGGCCCTTAGAAATCATTACTAACAACAAAGCTAGGGGAGGTGATGGTATACTAGCTTGTATTTACCTGTTTTTGTTCTTTGTATGCAATTTTAAGACTTCAATAAAAAATTTAAAAAAAAGAAAAAAGAAATCAAACAATATGCCTGCTTGCATGGAAAACCACTGGCATGAATGGCTTCCACGTAGTTTAGGTCACTATTAAGAACCACACCAGGGCATGAATGGCTTCCACGTGGTTTAGGTCACTATTAAGAACCACACCAGAGAACCCCAAAGCCATGCGGGAACCTTTCATGTAAACTGTTTCCTGTATGCTTGCTTCTTGATAGCAACTATGATGCCAGTATAACAGGTAAAGGAGGCTCCTCAGTTTGGGAAGCCATGCCTTCATAACACCTTTTTCTAATTAGGGGTAAGTGAGCTGAGGTCTGTTTTGATTAAAGACATTCTGTACTACAAACGTAAGCTTAGCTTTTCCATCCCTGAAGAAATCTTAGTACTGTGATTCTGTTAGGAACCGCTAGTATCCTTCTAACACATAAAGCTGCCTGAGTCAGATTATTGGTCTACCCATATCAGTACTGTGTGCTCTGACTTGACAGCAACTCTCCAAGGCCTCAGGTCTAAGTTTCTATGATCTGATCCTTTTACCTGGAGATTCCAGAGATGGAACCTGGAATGTTCTGCATACAAAGCAGATGCCCTGCTACTGAGCCATGGCCCCGCCAACAAACTATAATTTCCAGGGTTCTGAGTTCAATAGGTAAATGCCCAGGCATGCCCAAAATAACAGAATTGAGGATCTCATCCATAAAAAACAGTATTGTTCAGTTTAATTTATTTCATTTAGAACATATGCATTAAAAGCCTACTAAATGCTAATAATAATTTTGCCTTCTGTGTTTTCAAGGAACGTCACATTATGGAGGCTACTCTCATGATGCTGTGGTGTATGCACTACAAAAATGTGGTATTCGTCATATTGACACTGCAAAGAGATATGGTTGTGAATCACTCCTGCACAAGGCTATCAAAGACAGTGGTATCAAGCGAGAAGATCTCTGGCTAACGACCAAGCTCTGGCATATGGACTATGGCTATGAGAAAACAAAACAAGCCTGCTTAGAATCCTGCAAGAGACTTGGCATTGAATACTTAGGTATGGCATTCTTCCTATTGTCTTCTGTAAAAACTTGGGAGCAAATATTGGCTGATTGTACATGGAGGTGTTTCTCCATTTCATCACCTCAAGTCGTGTGCCTTTTGGTTGTTTCCACACAATGTCACCCCCAGCCCCTGCACAAATCATGAGCAGCCCTCTTCTGCTAAAAGCTCCAAGTTGTGTGTTTTTTTAAAAAAAACCTGCAAAAAAAAAATCTTACTGGGCATGGGGTTGTTGACACATCTTTTTTCAAGTTTATAGAAGGGAAGGTAAAATCTGTTTGAGTGAAACACCCTTTCTCCATTTTCACAGTAAGCTGCCCTTGCTCAGAGACCCCGCCGTGTTGGAGGCAGGGCTCCTGAGAACCACCACATTGGTGGTAGGGCTCCCAGCAACCAGCTGGACCCTGGGAGCCTCCACACTGGTGGTGGCAGGGACCCCTGGAGCTGCTGTGTCGGTTGCACTTGTAAGGGCATCTGCTCGTGAGCAGACAACGTTATTGTTTTTTCTGGGGGATTAAAACTCTCAGAGAAACCCTCAAGGACTTGGGGGAGTACCTCACTTTCCCCTGTATCCCCCTCCCCACACAACCCCATATCCTCTCCCGTTTCCCTGCCTCCTCCTCTCATTCTCAGCCATTCACCAACCTATCTTTTATCTGCCTCCCACCTGAATCTATATTTGTTATTTATTTAATTCATTCATTTATTCCCTGCTTTTTCCCACAGTGGGTACTGAAACAGCCTCCTCCTTTCCTCCTTTGTATCCTCACAATAACGTGAGGATAAAAATGCTGTTGTGAGAATAAAACCTCTCCATTTTCATTCTGCTTCTTGTCCTAAGCCTGGTGCTAAATGTTGATGAAGGAAATCTTGGTTCAATTTCAGGAAATAATTTCATTTTCTTTGGATAGTACCTTTTGAATGCCACAATTCATTTGGGGAACTTAATCACTTCAGTGATGATTTTTCTTTGTGTTTGCTGCTCCAAAAGTATGTGCGCAATAGATATTCTCCTCTTTTGTTGGCAGAAGTGCTCTTAGAGCAGCAACCAAAGAGAACCCTGTCAAGGATGTGTCTTGATATCTTTTCTTTTTGCAAGCATCCTGCCAGTTGAGTCTGGGCAGATTTACAGCAGCGTAGCACCAGTGACTTTCTTTACTTGAGCAAGTAATAGGATACTGAAGCAGGCCTCGAATTCATACACATTTCCCCCCTCGGCACCACCACTGTGCCTTAGGTAGGGGGTGGCTCTGTAACAACCTCCCCTTCTAGCTTAGAGCTGGGTTGTGCTCAGCAGGTGGGGGAGGCAGCCTTAGAAGAAGAAGAGTTGTTTTTATACCCTGCTTTTCACTACCTGAAGGAGTCACAGAGCAGCAGCTTATGATCACCTTTCCCTTCCCCTCCCCACAATTTATTCCCTGCTTTTTCCCACAGTGGGGACTGAAACAGCCTCCTCCTCTCCTCCTTTGTATCCTCACAACAACGTGAGGATAAAAATGCTGTTGTGAGAATAAAACCTCTCCATTTTCATTCTGCTTCTTGTCCTAAGCCTGGTGCTGAATGTTGATGAAGGAAATCTTGGTTCAATTTCAGGAAATAATTTCATTTTCTTTGGATAGTACCTTTTGAATGCCACAATTCATTTGGGGAACTTAATCACTTCAGTGATGATTTTTCTTTGTGTTTGCTGCTCCAAAAGTATGTGCTCAATAGATATTCTCCTCTTTTGTTGGCAGAAGTGCTCTTAGAGCAGCAACCAAAGAGAACCCTGTAAGGATGTGTCTTGATATCTTTTCTTTTTGCAAGCAGCCTGACAGTTGAGTCTGGGCAGATTTACAGCAGCGTAGCACCAGTGACTTTCTTTACTTGAGCATGTAATAGGATGCAGGCCTCGAATTCATACACATTTCCCCCTTTAGACACAAAAGGTGCAAATTTGATAGGAACTGGGGATTCTCGCAGCAATGTTACCAAAGCCTCTTAGGCCTAGATGACAAAATCCTGAGGTGACAGAATGGACTGTACTGCTTCAGTCTGCAAACAAGGGATACCTTTAAAAAACCTGCTCTCCTGTGTGGAAAATTGCCCCACCAATGCAGAATGTGTCAGAGCAAGAGGTTCCAGCCCTGCCTATACTTCACAAAGAGTTTAAAAAAAACCCCACGGGAGCACCAAAATGTGACCCCTCTGCCTCTCTAAAGAGGCACTGTCCATTCTACCACTTCAGAACTTCATCCCCTTATTTTGCTGCATGCATAAAAGGTAAAGGTAAAGGTTCCCTTGCTTGAAAGCCAGTCAAGTCCGACTCTAGGGTTGCGGTGCCCATCTCTGTTTCAAAGCCGAAGAGCCAGCGCTGTCCGAATACGTCTCCGTGGTCATGTGGCCGGCATGACTAAACACCAAGGCGCACGGAACGCTGTTACCTTCCCACCGAAGTGGTACCTATTTATCTACTTGCAATTTCTCGCTTTCGAACTGCTAGGTTGGCTATGCTGCATGCATAGATCAAGCCTTATTCTCTGCCCCCAAATGATAGCTTGAAAAGAAAACTGCTAACAGAGGCCAGAGCAGGCCTCGGCACCACCACTGTGCCTTAGCAATGGGGTGGCTCTGTAACAACCTCCCCCTCTTAGCTTAGAACTGGGTTGCGCTCAGCTGGTGGGGGAGGCAGCCTTAGAAGAAGAAGAGTTGTCTTTATACCCTGCTTTTCACTACCTGAAGGAGTCACAGAGCAGCTTATGATCACTTTTCCCTTCCCCTCCCCACAACAGACACCCTGTGTGATAGGTGGGGCTGAGAGAGCTCTTTCGAGAACTGCCCTTGAGAGAACAGCTGTGAAAAAACTTATGACTGACCCAAGGCCACACCAGCAGCTGCATGTGGAGGAGTAGGGAATCAAACCCGGTTCTCCATATAAGAGTCTGCCACTCTTAACCACTACACCAAACTGGCTCTCCATTAGGATTGAAATCTACTCATGGCTTGTTACTTTAAGAAGGACATGGATGTCCTTTATTCTTAAGGAACTCCATACTATGCTTGAAAAGGAAGAATAGATATTGTAGCACTCTCTCTAAGCTAGGATGGAGAGAGAACAAATCGTGCCTTCATGGAGGTTAGATAAAGAAGCAGGAAAAGGAGGAGGGTCGGAAGGAAGGAAGGAAGACCCTGAGAGTAGCAGTCTGGGTAAACTAGGAGGAAAGATACAGAGGAATCTGATCTGTTTGTATCTGCTAGTTCTGCTGCCCCCTCTGAATTCCTGGTGTGCTTTGTACAAAGAGACGTTGCTCTGCTCAGTCCTTCACTTCCAACTATCTCAACAGGGGATCGGGGTGAAGGAACCCCTGGTTTCCACCACCTCTTACTAACTTTAACTTCTGGACTGACTCTTAAGTCAGAGAAAACTGAGCATCTCCCAGGCTGCCCTGTTGTGTTTGCTATTGTCGAATCACTCACTCCAGGCACTACTGCAAGCTTGCCTTCCCGCGACCAGCCATGACAATAACCTTTAATGTTATTTGAACCCTGCCCTGTGTATATATACTTAGATCCTGTGTGAACCACCTGTAGGCAAGTAAATCGATTTTTGCATTTAGAAGAAAAAAGGTTAAGAACTGAAAACATGTGTTAATGATAATTCAGAAAAAAATAGAATCTGCAACATTCACCTCCCTCCTCTTCAGGTTTTACATTTTTTGTCAGATTGCAAATGTCAAGTCTTTTGAACTGTAAAATCCTAAAATCGTCTTTTATTTCTCTGTTAACCAACAGGTACAATCTACTAAAGAGTAGCTCCGTTCTAAAATTAATATTCACTGTTGCAGATAGTCTCTGCAAATTGTAATCTTGCATAGAATCCTATTCATTTCAAAGAGGATTTGCACAGGGATTATTTCCAAATCCCTGCTCCTAAATGACAGGATACATCAAGCTGTTAAATTCTCTGTGTAATATGTAGCTGTGTTAATCTGCACAGAATTTCTTATTTCCTAATTTTGTCTTAAAGTATTTCCAAAAGTATGTGGGCAAATGATTATCTTGCAGAACTAATCTGCAAATTTGTATCAAAATCACACCAAATTACAGAGCCATAAGAAATGTATTGTCTGTTGTGGGATGGTATTTTAATAAACACATTCCATGTCTTGCATTTCTTTTTGGTATACAACGGTTTTCATTTTTTTCTCTTTTGACTTAAACTGTGACATTCATATTAAATCAATATAAAATGGCAGAAGTATTCTCTTGATTGGGCTTTGGGGGTTGCATTCCTTGCAATTTAGACTCTGCACTGAAACTAGCATTTTTTGCTTGGTATGCTTTGGGGATTGCAGAATGTATAAATTCCCCCATTTGTGTTTCGGCTCGCTTTCTGGTCCTTGTTAGCAGCTCGCTTTCTGGTTCTTGTTAGCAGTTTACACTTTGTGTTGAATTCCAACAAAGTCACGAACATTAGTTTATCTTAGAATCATGCTAACTGCCGTCAACTATGTAAAGTAAGCATTACCTTTTTGAACGACGAGGAGCTTTTTCTTCAAGACTTTGACAGTTCCAGCCACTGAAAATGAGACATTTATCAACTTGCTGTGTCAGATTGACTAGATTCACATTTATCAACTTGCTGTGTCAGATTGAATAGATACGTATTGAATTGTATTGGTTTCCTTTTTGGCGATCCAAAGAATGTTTTCACTCTCACGTGGGTGGAAGCTACAGTAGTTTTAATTTCCTAGGAGAGTTAAACACATGCTTAATTAACTCCTCCACCAGCATCAGAGGAACTTGAGGTCTAACCATAAGCATATACTATGACATAAGCACCACTGAATTTATTGGGATCCATTCTTAAGCATGCATAAGACCATATTAGTATATGACTATATATGTTAGTACATCATAACATTTCAGTCTGCCAGACAGCTTACAATTAAAATGATCGATAATAAATGCAATATAATGAACCTTAAGTGGCAATAAAAGCTGCATGTAAAACCAGCAGCAGGATGCTTTTAAAAATTTATTCAGACTATAAAGTGGTATTATTGTTTTGTTTAGTGATGTCTGGGCAGGTTTTTGTTTTATTTTTAATATCCAAGTGGAGTTGTGGTTAGAGTGCCAGACTAGGAACTGGGATCCCCAAGTGTTAAACCCCGCTCTGCCATGGACGCTCACTGCGTGACCTTGGGCCAGTCACGCTCTCTCTCAGCCTAACCTTCTCACAAGGTGGTTGCTAGGCTAAGAGGGAAGAGGGACGAATGATGTTGCAAATCACTTTAGGGTCCTGACAGGACACAAAAGTAGGGTATAAATATCTAAATAAAAATATATGCATAGCTGGCAAACTTGAAAAGCACTTGCCTGAGTGTGCGTGGCTTTGTGCCTCTTAAAAATAAACATGAGCCAGATCCGATCTGGGATCATTGCCTTCCACTTTAAATAGATTAAGTTTCCATGTATGCACACCCTTTGCATTTGACATAATGTGCACATATTTCATAATCCAGTCCGGATAAAATGCAAAGGGCATAACTTCTCTTCCCCCTTCTAAACAATTCATTTTTAGCATTGTTGCCTGAGGCTGCAAATTTAGCTATTCCAAATGATGAGTAAGCATTTCATGAGTCATTGCATGTTTTGAATGTTGCTGTGTCAGCTGTAGTCCTAAATTCTGTCCCCTCCTTTAACTGAACCCTTTTTGTGCTTGGTTGTCAATACAGGTATGATGGATCCACTGGATATTTACCATTGTAGCCATGGCAAATGAAATATTTGTCTGTTAACCAGACTTGTCAGCTAAATTGAGTTATCTGCATTTTTTAATCAGTATGGTAAAGTGGATGGGATATAAGAGTAGGACCTCTGAGATCTGTGTTCAAATCCTGGCTATGTCATAGATTCTGTAGGTGGCTTTGGTTGTCAGCTGCGCTCTGGAGTGACCTAGAAATCAATCACTAGATGAGGATATGCAGATAGATAGAAACAGGCTTCATTCTCAGTAACTAGACTATAAGTAGTTAGGGTCACTGAGGTTGAGAAGCAACTTTAGCTCTCACCCAAATGTTGTCCCCAAGCACACTACTTTTAATTATTTTCACATATAAGTGAACGGTTGCCATTATAATAAACAGCTGCTCTTGAGAATATAGTTGCAGTGATTGTAAAACCTCTTATCCACTTCTGACACTGGTTAATCCTAGAATCCAAGGGAAATGGATACCCCTTTAACTGGACCAGGCTGAAAACCAACTACCGTGATATGCTCTGTTCATGTCATTTTAGAAATAAACCAGATAATTTTCTTTTGTGACTCATGGAATTGAACATACATGATCGGGAGTGTGTGTGTGCCCCTCCCCCCGTTCCAAGTGTGTGTCAGGTGCAGAGGAATTATGCTTGGGCCTTGGTGGTCCAGCGTCCACAGATGAGTCCCTCTTGGATCCCTTGCTGGTGTTGTCTAGTAGCCCTGTACAACCTGTGACCGACAAATGCAAACGCAGCACAGCAGCAGTTGCCTATGGCAGCCTGCCTGGATCTTCGTAAGCCTTCTGTTTTTGCTATGTGCCTGGCAAAACAAAACAAAAAATGCTCTAAACAAACTATGATCTGTATCTGGAGTGCCGCGTTCATCTTGGTAAATCGCACATTTAGTAGGCCTGTATAAATACTGCATAACCTAGCGTGCCATGGATTTGAAAGGATTTATAAGTAACCTCACCAAACATGGCAGTTAACATTCCCTCTCTTCTGCTGTGGTGAATTAAACAGGCTAATGGCCCATCTGATGTTTATCGCCAGTATACTTTCCCTAACTTCCATTACATTCACTTGTTGGTTCAGCTTAAATATATGTAGTGAAAGAAACCGTTTATGGTTGCAGGTGAAACATAACCTTCCTAGGGTTGCCAGGTCTGGATTGGAAAATACCTGGAGACTTTGGAGGTGGAGCCAGGAAAGGGCGGGGTTTGGGGAGGGGAGGGGCCTTGGCATGGTACAATGCCATAGAGTCCACCTTCAGAGCAGCCATTATCTCCAGGGGAGCTGATCTCGGTCAGCTGGAGATCAGTTGTAAAAGCGGGAGATCCTCAGGTCCCACCTGGAGGTTGGCAACCCTAAACCTTCCTTAAAACCAAATGAGACTCAAGATGCTGCTTCTTTGCAAAATCATAGAGGCAATGACACAAGGGAAGATAAGAGTCCTGCGTATCGAAGCAGGCCAGAGGTCTTGCAGTTCTCATGGTTGCTAGGCCATTCTCCTTGGAGCTGGTTTCAGCATACAGAGCTCTTTTGTACATGAATATCTGCAGAACAGCTGCTTCTGTGAGTATCTCGAAAATGGTACTTACCTGGATATTTAGGCTTCTGCATAAGGATCTATAGAGCTGGAATTTTGTAAAAATTGAAATTGGCATATCATCAGTCTCTCTCTTTCGTCTAAAATTGAAATTGGCATATCATCAGTCTCTTTCGTCCAGTGGCTGAGGCTGTGTCGCTTGTAATATAGCAAGCTGGTTTCCTTGTGTGTTAGGATCTTTTCAGTTGTGTTGTATATGCTCTATACAAATTCAGGGTTGTTCATTAGTTTTTGAAAAATTGGATTTTTTCCCCCTTTTAGATCTTTTTTTGGTGCATTGGCCTGATGCTCACATCCCTGGCAAAAGCAATCGAGAAGTCAGAGCAGAAACCTGGACAGCCATGGAGGAGCTGTATGAGAAAGGTGGGATGACTTTGGTAGTTCTTGGTTAGCAGGATGAGCTGTGAAACACTGTACAATTTCAAAAATGCATATTGAGTTGCTACTGGTGTAGCACATCGCATAAAGTAATTTGTGCCAGCCTTTCTCCCCAAAACCTGTTGCCACTCACTTCTAATCTGAAGAGTATCAGTGGATCATATTGCCCTTCAAATTTTCATCACATCCCACAGTGATCTTGGGAAGCATTGCCTTTATTTCCCTATTGGATGTTTAAATGAACCTTCTTTTTTAAGGTAGATCCACAGGGAATAGGATTGGTTCCAAAGTAGGCTCTTGTCCTTTTCCACATGTGCATCTGCTGGTTTGGGCTGCCTCATGCCCTGTATTAAGTTAGAGCCATCCACTGCCAGAGGAGCTCAAAAATGTCTCCAGTGGGACACTCTTAAGCAATGCCCACACTGCTGTTTGTGTACTTGAACTGTACATGCAGAAGTAGCAGGAGCTGGCCCGTAGCTAACACGGGGCCCACGGAGCCTGGCCTCCTAGTGTTTCTTCTGGGCCCCCTCCCTCCTGGGCTGACCCCAAAGTGCTCCAACTTACCAACTGCACTGTACTTTCATTTTATTAGCTGGTGGACCCCCCGAGGCCCCCTCTCAAAGAATTCCCTAGCTACGGGGCTGAGCAGGAGACGAACTTGCCAGGGCAAGAAGGTTGTTTGAGCATTGTCAATAATCCATTCCCCTTCTCCTGTTAAGAACTGCACTGCTTGTGCATGTTGGGGAGGGGGGGTTTCTCCAAAGGTACTATGTAGAGGAATGCCAAAGATACAAGACAGCTGAACAGAAGTAGTTGTATTTAAGGGTATCCAAATCAAAGTACTCCAATTTTAAGTGGATTTGTGAGTCTGGTTGGAGGTCCTTCGTGACTTTCTGACAGTTATTCAAAGGGGATCCTTCTGGGGGCAAAAGAGGGCTTGTGGTGGTAGCTGTGTTATCTGTACAGCAATTCAGTGGTAGCAGCTGAGGGGTGGGGGGGAATGGGATGTGTTTGGCTCAGTGAGGAACTGGAACTGAAACGGATTAATATTCAAAACATCTCTTTAAGGGAGTTCATAAATTGAACCAACTCTCTCTCAAAACTTGCTGTTTTTTCTCATCTGCTTTCTTTTTCATGTACAATTTAGCTGGGCTTTAATTTGTACCTAAAACCAGCAATTAAAATTAGATGTCTTTCAGTTTAATGCACTAAATATTTTTGTGTGTGCTGATTATAGGATCAGCTCCCCTTGGAATGCTGAGCGTAGTTTATTGCCCCCTTAACTATTTTATTCAAATTAACATCTTCTCAATTCCTTTCCAATTAAAAGAGCATCTCTGGCCCGAGAGTCCTGTTATCTCATGCCATCAGCTCCTTCTGAATCCTATGAATCGCTACTTTTCTGTCTTGAGCAAAGCGGAATTTTCAGACCTCCAGCCATGTGTTTTTGAAGTGATATGCAAATGCTAATAAATGTGGAGGTTTAAATGCAGTGGCCCATGAGTGGGGAGAAAAAGATAAATAATTTGCTTGCATGGTTAACCACTAAACTTTCAGTTGACATTCAGCTATTGCTTAATCATCCCACTCGACTTGTGACACTGGCCTGAGGTTTATGGGGCAGCCTTTTAATTAGCATTGCTGCTTTCAGTGACAGTCCTCATGTGAGACCTTCTGGAGCATTGTAATAAAGCAGGGAAGTCCTTGTTTGAAATCTTTCTTTAGCTACAAACTCATTAGATGATCTTAGGTAAACTATCCTGTGTCTTAGTTGCTGATCAGTTTTCTGCAGTATGAGAATTGTGTTGGGTGTTGGAAAGCACTGTCAAGTCACAGCTAACTTATGGTAATCCGTTAGGAAATGCCGAGTGATTAGTATTATCGGTTTGTTCTAAAATGGAAGATTAAATAAGAAAGCTGAAAAGGACTCCTTTGCAATTCCAGAACCAGATACAGATGTCCTCTTAATTAAATAAATAACCTTTTAGCTATGTTTCACTGCCTAGTTCTAATCTGTCACAGATGAGCAGGCAACTGCTAGGCACATGACTGTTCTAGGCCCTACAGTTTGGAGTCCTCTAAACGTCAGGTTTGAGGGATGTATGCATATCTACTTGTTCACCAGTTCAAAATCCCCAGGCAGGAACATTATACACAGGACAGTAGTGTCCCTGAATTATCATGGTTCTTTGGTCAACAAGGATCATGGGTTCACTGGTCCCATCCCAGAGTATATTGACAATTTATTATCTGCTTCTGTTCCAGATGCAAATCCCATAGAACTAGTAAGATTTCAGGGATTTACAGTAATGGGCCAGGTTACTTCTCTTAGGTCATGGGAAAGTGGTCAGAGGCACAATCATGCTGTATGAGGTTCTAGGTATGCCATCTTGGTCTGTGATTGTTTTTAAGCATTGCAAACAAGTTTGTCAGTTCGATGTACCATTTCTGCTGATTTCTATGCCAGTGCCTCCCTCAAAGTTGTTGATGTGGGCAACTCACTCTTTCCCCATAGGTACATTGGGGAATCTACTGAACTGACAAAATAATATCAAAGCACCCTTTCACAGAAAAATGCTCCAACTAGTTTTTTAACCAAATGTGGCAGACAAGCAGAAGATTTTCTAACCTTCCCAGGATGATTCATATCCTATTCCTGATATGTTTTCTCACTGAACCAAAAGGAGAATTGGATTTGCTGTGAATTTCCATTCTGTCCTAGTAATGGAAAGCCAGCCTGCCCCTCCTAATGCTTAGTGAACAGACCAGAATTCGCCTGTAACAGACTCTTACAGTTCCCTAGGGCTGTTCATCAGCATTCCTTGCCAGCTGTGTAGTTATTTCATGCCCTCCTAGGAATGCATCTCATTCACTACTTACAGTTCTTTTTTTCCTCTGTGCACTGGTTTCTAATCATGTGGCTGCCTTTAGTAGCAAGTTAGCTATTACTGAAGAATCCCATGTATTTCAAGAGGCTAAAGTCATGTGTTCATTTGAGAAGTGGGGCTACTACTGACCTCCTGATAGTAGAAGATTTTGAGCCCTAGCAGGTATAGGTTAAGAGTTAATCTATTTCAAGTCAAGTCAAGTCAGCCTGTATTGGCATAAATTATCAGTACCATTTATACATTTTAAAACCAGTTAAAACTCATATATACAATTCTAGAAGAACCTTTGGCGCAGCTTTAAAGCCAAGCAGAGAAACTTAGCCACCTTCTCTGTGATGTCCGGACTGAGATCTCTTAAAAGTCTATTCACCTTAAGTGCATCAGAGCAAGCACCCATGCTGGTTAAAAGAGAGTGTAAGTATGTGATCCTTAGGTCCATATACAAATTGCAGTGCAGGAGAACGAGTGATAGATTCCACACATTTCGATCTGCAAGGGCAGTATCTGGCGAGATGAGAAACCTTGTTAAATCTGCCAAATAAAATGGCGGACGGCATAGCATTACATCTGGCCAGGGGAGTTAATCTATTTGTAACTGCTTAGGACAGAATGGAAATTCACGAGAAGTCCACTTTTACTTTTCCATGCTGCTTTTCACCAATCCTAATTACGGTTTTTATTTTGTTTAAAGAAGTCATGCTTCTGTATGAGGGTGACACTAGGCTTATAAATATGCAGTGGAAACTGTTCAAATCCATTCTTCAGGAGTTGGCCTGATGATCTGTAGTATGGTTTCAAGTAGTGAATAAAATACCACAGTCATCTTTTAACTCCTTTGAGTCAAATATGTGAACCTCTGCTTTTGAGCTTCCACTCTGCTGTTTCAGCACATCTGAACTTTACAACATGATGACTAACCATTGTTTAAAATGGAACTGGTTATAGTTGCTAGCTTAGATGGCTTTAAAATGATTAGACAAATTCAGGGAGGTTAGATCTACTAGTGTCTATCAACCATGACAACTGAGGCAAGGTCTAAATGGTAAAACTTACCACATTCCCAGTTTAGAGGTGATGTCTGGCATGAGTACTTGCTCATTTATGTTGTTTGTTGTGAACACTAATGAGAATTGTGTGGCAGAAAGTCCAAAGACTCCTTATTGCATAAATCATTGCTTATGTTTTTTAAAGGCGGTTGTAAAAGACCATATTTTAGAAGGAGAACCATAGACACAGATGGCTAGATCATTTCCATTCTCTCAAATGGTCTGTAATCAGAACTCTATGGGAGAAGATACCAAAAGCCTTGTTCCCTGTGAACATAAAGTTCAGAATGCCATAGACTAAAAATACTGTGTAAAATCATCACAAAGTTCTTGAGGTGGATTCCTGAAGCGGCAAGCTACCAACCCAACATGCCAAACAAGTTTGCCACAGGAAAATAAAAACCTCCTCACAATAAATGTATTGTTTAGACTAGTTCTTAGATTTGGAATATTTGGAGACAGCTTGCATTGGTTTACCAGTTGCTGGATATGAACACCATATGAACCAGAGTTCCCTCTAAGCTGAGTTAATGTGAGCTAGCTCATAGTTTTTTAGCCTCCAGCTCACACATTTTTGTCTTAGCTCAGGAAGGATGGCTCCAGAGCAAACTAATTTATGCAGTAGCCAAATCGCTCACTCACAACTTTAATTCCAGTAGCTCACAAAGTAGAATTTTTGCTCACAAGACTCCACAGCTTAGAGGGAACACTGTGAACAACAATACTCTTATCATTCCTACTTCTGACCTTTCTCAAGATGTAACTGATCAGTGTTAAAGCTTGTCTAATCCAACACAGTCATCCTTGTATTGTGAGGAGGAAAAATGCTTCTACTTACATTGATGCCCACTGCATAAGTACAGCTCAGGACTTGTTTTCTGGGTCGGTTGTACAGTTTATTACTAAGGAAGGGGAAGTGCTTCAGTGGTAGAGCATCTGCTTGGCATGCAGAAGATCCCAGGTTCAATCCCTGGTGTCTCCAGTTAAAAAGATCAGGCAGTAGGTGATGTGAAAGACCTCTGCCTGAAACCCTGGATACTCGCTGCCAGTC